TCATCTCTCAGCCTTTGGGTTCATGCAAGCGGTGAAGAGAAGATCAACGATGTTTTTCTTCTCATCCAAGCGATCTCGGTCGTAAACTTGGCCGTAGGACAAGACCTCCATCGGCAGTACACCACATGACATGTTGTGGGGAAACCTGAGGCTGTGAATCTTAGAGACTCCTAAAACAATGCGGGCAGTTGACAATACACTCGACTTCAAAATGCACGGTCCTTGAAGCAGCAAAAACAATATGCATCCACCTTCGTCCACAATTTCAATCATCATGCATGATTATACCAACTTCATTTAGTTCTGGTTGGACCATCGTCTGGGCCATCTCTTAGTTCCACCTGTGTGAGGAGCATGATGGCACCCTGCGTGTCATAGTCGTCCACCTCAGCTGGGGCAGATTTTGGAGCACTCCAATGGCAAATGCAAATCAACAGGCAGTCAACTGGCACTGTTTCCGTATAAAGTGGCTCTTGTGAAATCTCCAAATGCATTTCGACTGCGCAGGCTCGCACCAGGTCACCAAGTGTCTGTCTGCGTTCTGGGGTTCAATCTGGGCCACGGCATTTTTCCTCTAAATTTCCGTATAAAGTGGCCCTTGAAATGTTGAAATGCATTTCGACTGCGCAAGCTCGCACCAAATTTCTATATAAAGTGGCTCTTGTGATGCTTCTTGTGAAGCGTTGAAGTGCATTTCGACTGCGCAGGCTCGCGCAAAGTGTCTGTCTGCGTTCTGGGCTCATTCTGGTCTGCGGCATTTTACCTGTAATTTTCCATATAAAGTGGCTCTTGTGAAATGTTGACGTGCATTTCGACTGCGCAGACTCGCGCAAAGTGTGGGTCTGCGTTCTGGGCTCATTCTCGTCTGCGGCATTTTACCGGTAATTTTCCATATAAAGTGGCTCTTGTGAAATGTTGACGTGCATTTCGACTGCGCAGGCTCCGCAAAGTGTGGGTCTGCCTTCTGGGCTAATTCTGGTCTGCAGCATTTTACCTGTAAATGTCCATAAAAAGTGGCGTCTTGTGAAATGTTGACGTGCATTTCGACCGCGCAAGCTCGCGCAAAGTGTGAGTCCTGGTCTTGGGATCGGTCTTCCTCCTCAACATCATCATCTTCCTTCTTCTCTACATCATCATCATCCTCCACCTTGCAATGCTCCACTTCATCTTCCGCATTGCCATCCCCATCACCATCATCATCATCATCCTAACTTCATTACCTTCACCATCATCATCATCATCATCATCATCATCACCAGCATCAATCATCATCATCATCATCATCATCATCCACATTATCATACATCATCCTCCCACTCCCTCACACTGTTTGGGGTCTCTTGCCGGGATCATTGCTGTTCAGTTTGTTTGATCATCGCGCTCACAACTGTTTGGGTGAAGCACCCCATTCTTTCAGCCACTGGATTTGTAGGTTTCTCCGGGCACCCCCACGTAGGGCATGTTGAGGTCGTCCACAAAGAGCACACAGCGACGATGCCCCGGTGGACCGTAAGTGTGCCCACTGCGCCTCAGAGATAAAAGTGACGCGGTGTGATGCGGATATCCGGACCAGGGAAAAAAGGGGACAAACATCAACAGTTAAGACTTTAGCAATGCGATGTAAATCCTGGCTAGAATACATATACGTTTTATAGCAATGATTACTAGGATCTCAACAAAATAGTGTTGTTTGATGCAACGTAAACACAGCGGAAAGGTAGACCTTTGCAAAGGGGTGAAACTGAAAACCCGTGTTTGTGTTGTTTGGACCTGGGTTTGGCATCACTCTGTTGCCGACGTCACTTCTGACGTTGCTTGTCAACTTCGCTCCTCCAATCTGTTGCTGGGACATCCCTACCCCTATAGAGGTGGAGGGAGGGGGGGGGCCAAAACCAACCTGTCGAATTCCGCTTTCTTTTGCTTGGAAACCTTGGGATAGTGATCCAACCCCTCGAATGGAATTGTAAAGTAACATTTCTTAACAAGCCTTGGGCAATGCTTAGAAAATACTTGCGCTTAGCTCCGGAGGAGCTAAGCGCAAGTATGATCACGGCAGCGCAATTTTCTGGAGGGATGCCATCCCTACACATGTGCTGCTTCAGTCTGACATGTGCTTAGCTCCTCCGGAGCTAAGCGCAAGTATTTAATTTTCACCTGCTTGCCAATGACATGGAATGATGAGGAATATTGATCATTGAGATAACATGATTGCAAAAATGAAATTTTAAAATGAAATTTCAGTACGACTCCCCCCCCTCAAATTCCATTTTTAAGAGGGTAGGGATGCTGGGACTTCCTGAAGTGGTTTAATCCGGGTCGCCACGAAATTAGTTCTCTGTCGTCTGACGTGTCCCCGAATGTCTTTGGTGATGTTGCTATTGAAGATACCTAATACCTGGATCATGTCATCTGCTGCTGCTGCTGCTGCTGCTGCTGCTGCTGCGGCTGTCGGTCTCGGGTCTAACTAACTTCTCCCCAGCCCACCTGAACATGGTTCCCAATCCCATCATTCGACTCTGTTCCGCTCTCACTCTCTTCCACCCTCACACTTGCGCCTTGGGGCCCTGGTCTGATATCTGTTGGGAATGTCCGTCTCGCCCGTCCGATGCCCCCCTAAACCCTCGTGTTCCCTCTTGCGCAGGTTTGGTTGGTCCACTATGGCCCCATTCAAAACTCCGCGGGTCACCCTGGTGCGCAGGTGGCTCGAGGTCGGTCAAAACCTCTGAAACCTCCTTTGGCAGTCTAAGGACATGTAAGTTTCCTTGGACTTCATGCGGCATCTACTTTTGTGGTGCTCGCACTGGCAAAGTTGCTCTCTGTTTGATTCATGTGTTGCTTCAGTGTTTTCAAGGGTTTTCTGTTCCAAACGTTTCAGGAAAAAGTAACAAACATAGTTTCCGGACTTCAATGAAATCAAAGAAAACGCCCTTGGTGAGTAATTTCCATCGACCAAATGCATCCCAGATCTTAGTTTGGCTTTGTTTCATAATATGATGAAGTTGAGGACTCGTTGTGCAGACTTCCCTCGCCAGACATGCAACCACGTCAGGATTTTTAGTGGACCACTGGGCACCAGAATCTGAAAAAATCAAAATGAAACTGGAGAATCACAATCTGCCACGCTGGTCACCGCTTGTCTTCTGGCCGACAGGACTGCATGTTGATTGTCAAGAGGGTATGTAAATAAACACGCTCGCAATCGCTCAAATTTCTCGAACATAATTACCAGAAAGAACAAAGGATCGAAATGGCCTCCCCTCCGTGCAGTGCAAGCGGGAGAGACTATCTCCCCGCACCGGAAGCCCTATGGCCACATTAGCGCATCGTGCCATTGTCATCCACTGAGCATATATCAGCGGGTTGGCCCCAAACTCCCAGCTGCCGACAACAGACAACCTTGCCACTGCGCCTCACCCCAGCCAACGGTGTGCAGGATGCCCACGTCCTGCTATGCTTGGACAACCCTGCGGGTAAGGCGTTGCAACTGACGCCTGACTCAACATCAGGACTGGCCCATTAAGCCTCGTGCACAGTCAACTCGACAATTGGCCACCAATAGGCCGTAGGTATGGTCCCAACAATCCTCTCTGTTGGAACCGCTTCTTTGTCTGGCAAAAGACATCAAACATAAGAAGAAAATAGCAAAAAACACCACCACCACCACCACCACCACCCAAAAAACAACAACAACAACAACCACAACCACAACCACAACCACAACCACAACCACAACCACCACAACCACCACAACAACAACAACAGCAACAACCACAACAACCACAACAACCACAACGACCACCACCGCAACAACAACAACAACAACACCAACAACACCAACAGCAACAGCACCAGCACCAGCAGCAGCACCAGCAGCAGCACAGCACCAGCAGCAGCACAGCACCAGCAGCACCAACAAGACAGACAAGACCAACAATACCAACAACACCAACAACACCAACACCACCACCACCACCAACAACAACAACAACAACAACAACAAACAACAGCAGCAACAGCAGCAACAGCAGCAGCAGCAGCAACAGCAGCAACGGCAACCAAAAAAACAACAAACAACAAACAAAAGCCACAATGCTCAACGAGTGGATCGCAAAAGAAAATATGTTAACAGAAGTGATAGGGGAACAAATAAAGAAGAAATAGGAATGAACATCCGGAAAGAACATCGTGAAAAATTGGGGGAGAAAATGGGGGAAAAAATCAGGAAGAAAGTTGAGGAGAAAAACAGGGAATAATTTTGGGGAAGCAAATAAGGCAGGCAGACAATCGAGAAAAAATAGGGAAAGGGCAAAGAAGGTGCAGGAGGAAAGAAGATAGGGAAGAAACAGAAAACAAATTAGGGAAGAAAACAATTGATGGAAGTAGGGGAAGAAAATAAAGAAGATAATACGGAAGGAAAATAAAGAAGAACATTGAAGAACATTTTAACCTGTTCATTGTTTTGGCTGTCCCAAGTTCTACCCACACCAGCGCAACCATCCCACGGCTGATGTATTTCCATGGGGGATCCGCAAAGCCACAATGCTCAACAAGTGAGTTATAAAATGGTCATACACTGACAAGCAGGTTGATTTATTCCATAGCCCTGCTTGATAGCTGAAGATTGTTTGTGGCATTGTGGATCTCACATCACAAGCGTAGTTAACGTATAAAACCAATCCGACAAAGATCATAGATCCCATACACCATTTTTGGCTGGGGCGGTTGGCGAAAACCCTGTAATCACAAGGCCTGCAATCTGCCACGCTGGTCACCGCTTGTCTTCTGGCCGACAGGACCAGCGGTCTGGGGAAGCAACCATAGGAGCCAAGCAAGGGGCAAGGGGCAACAAAATTTAACAAAACAGTGTTTGTGAAGGTCCTGAAGTGACCATGCGCGCTGAGTACCCTCCGGTAATCTTTGCTCGAAAGTCAACCGTTTGCTCCGACCACTTTCCCATTCAATCCTCCATGAATGTTGATTGTCAAGAGGGTATGTAAATGAACACGCTCATAATCGCTCAAATTTCTCCAACATAATTACCAAAGAACAAACGATCGAAATGGCCTCCCCTCCGTGCAGTGCAAGCGGGAGAGACCTAACACGCTCATGCTAGGTATTAGGTAACATCTCCCTGCACCGGAAGCCCAATGGGCACATTAGCCCATCGTGCCATTGTCATCCACTGAGCATATATCAGCGGGTTGGCCCCAAACTCCCAGCTGCCGAAACCTTGCCACTGCGCATCACACCCGGCCAACGGTGTGCAAGATGCCCACGTCCTGCTATGCTTGGACAACCCTGCGGGTAAGGCGTTGCAACTGACGCCTGACTCAACATCAGGACTGGCCCATTAAGCCTCGTGCACAGGTATGGTCCCGACGATCCTCTCTGTTGGAACCGCTTCTTTGTCTGGCAAAAGACATCAAACATAAGAAGAAAATAGCAAACACCACACCAACACCAACACCACAACCACCACCACCACCAGCAACAACAACAACAACAGCAGCAACAACAACAACCACAACAACCACAACAACAACAACAACCACCACCACAACAACAACAACAATAACAGCAGCAGCAGCATCAACAGCAACAGCAACAGCACCAGCAGCAGCAACAGCAGCAGCAACAGCAACAGCAACGGCCGCAACGGCAACGGCAACCGCAACAACAACAACAACAGCAGCAACGACAACAACAACAACGACAACAGCAACGACAACAACAACGACAACGACAACAACAACGACAACAACAACAACAGCAGCAGCAGCAGCAACAACAACAACACCAGCAGCAGCAGCAGCAGCGGCAGCGGCAACGGCAACCGCAACAGCAACTGCAACTGCAAGGGCAACAACAACAACAACAACAACAACAACAACAACAACAACAACAACAACAGCAACAGCAACAGCAACAGCAACAGCAACAGCAACGACCACAACAACAACGACAACAGCAACGACAACAACAACAACAACAACAACGACAACAACAACAACGACAACAACAACAACAACAACAACAACAACAACAACAACAACAACAACAGCAGCAGCAACAACAACAACACCAGCAGCAGCAGCAGCAGCAGCAGCGGCAGCGGCAGCGGCAACGGCAACCGCAACCGCAACTGCAACTGCAACTGCAACTGGAAGGCAACAACAACAACAACGACAACGACAACGACAACGACAACGACAACAACTCCACGACACCAACACCACGACACCAACTCCACAACACCAACATGTACACCGATTTGTTTGACAAGAAGCACTGCAGACAACTGGGAAGCGCTGCCATGACAAGCTGCATCATATCCACCAGCTTGCGTTGCAGTGGTTTATGGAAACAACCACGGAAGGCAAAGCCGTGGCACGGCAAAGCAGCACAGTACGGGACATGTCAAGGGTCCTAAGCAACCACAAGTGCTAAGCATGAAACTAACGACCTACCGAAAGGGTCAAAACAAAACGGCCTTTGTTGCAATGGCAAGCGCGCAGGAGAGTCTGGTCCACCAAAAGAGTGGACAGCCTAGAGACACCTCCACCGGGAGCACCGAGGGACTTCTCCAAACATCCGACGATGATGTTCTGCAAAGCCCCAGAGGTGGTATAACCTCAAAATCATGAGGCAATGGACAAGAATTGAAAAAATCAATGGTTTCACGGAAAAGGCAAATGTTGAATCCCATGATCTGTCTTTCTTCCCAAGTTGGGGGGGCCATTGGTTTCCCTCAAAGTCAGTCCTGGGACCACCAAGGTTTTCACCATATTTTGCGTGACCAAACACTGACCGAATCATCAGGAATAGGGCCATGACTCGGTATGGTTCCTACCAATAAATATGAAGAAAACATGGGTGTTCAAATGTGTTCAAGTTCAAGCAATGCAGAAACCAAGGCACTGTTCAAGTTGATGGATGCGCTGTTCATGGCATTCGCGTCGCTTTTGACCTTGACCTTCAGAGATTGCGTGTTTTAACCAGATGATACCAGACACATAGGCATTGTCTACATCACAATAGGAATTCCCGGAGATGAAGAATTGTCTACATCCTGGGAATACTCAAACAATCATAGGTAAGCCATAATGGCCATACTTAATTTCACCGTTTGAGTTTATATAAGTTATATAAGTTATATAAGTTATATAAGTTATATAAGTTATAATTATATATATATGATATTATAGCATATATTATAAGTTAGTTATACATTGACACATTGAACGTAGACCCAGTAGACCCGTCTCGTAGACCTGTCGCAGTTTCTTCGATGTTTCCCCAGTTTCCGGGACGTCGCCAGGCCGTTTCTTAGCCGTTTCCCCGTCGCACCTCGGCCAGGTAATCCTTCACGATGGTCGTCTTGGCCGTTCCTGGAACCATGGATCCACCATGAAAATCCGATTTAAAAAAAACATTATCATAAATTATATTAAATATAATATACTATAAATTAATTAAATTAAATAATTACTAATTAAATTAAATAATATTAATATAATTACTATTTTATAATTTATTATAATTACCATTACGACCATCTTATAAAACATTCACATTCTACCGGTCAGAATGATGCCATGTTCAGCCTATAGTCAGCTGAGTTTGAAGACGCGATTGATGTCTCTATTTTTGTGCTTCTCAGAGGGCTGGTATGGTCTAGCGGATAAGACGCATCCCTCATGCGTCGGACCCGGGTTCGATACCCCTGCGGATGAGCTAGCTAGGGTGTGGTCCGTAAAAACAGTCTCTCTGTGTGCGTCTCAACCTTGGTTCCTGCTGTTCTTGAACCAAATCTGTGATGTCCATGCTCCTCCACTTTCCTCTCAAGCAGCCCCGTATCTCGACAGCTACCATTCCAAGTCATGAATGGACAAACCCGGCCCCAAGAGTTTGGACGGTTAAATAACAACAATAGATTTAATATGATTTAATAGATAGATCGGTGAAAGCCCATGATAGATCCATACATCGGATATGACAATCCACACATCTTTGAATGTTCCACACGTATCCACACGTGTGGATCGTTGACCCGGTAAGGGCAACAGATGGCCACAGTGTCCTGCCACGCCAACGAACAACAAGGGTTTCCGACGCTTCACGTGCAAATCCAGGAGGTGCCTTGGGCAGATTTTCGCGGAACGATCGGAACGGGATCAAAGAGAAACTCAGCTGGAGACCTCTGTGAAGGGAAGACTTCCCTCCGTTTGTGTCGTTGTCATGTCATTTATGTCATTTATGTCATTGTCATGTGTTCATATGTGTTCTTGTCTCCAGTTTCTCCAGAGCCACTTGCTAAACGTCGCATCTTTAAGCCTCTTTTTTTCTTGCTCAATGCACTAGAAAAACAAGGGAGCTTCCGAACTTCCCTATGTTTTTTCCAAGAAAAAAACTCAACAATCCAACTGCAATTGCAAGTGGCTTCATCCTCTCCAGCTCCATATTGCTGATGACGATGTTTTGGTACAGGACTTCCGTCACTGGTTCGTAGGGTTTCACCCACTTCTCCCAATGCACCCATTCCTGGCACAGCTCGAATGTAGATTCAGCGGATTCTGTTTAAAAAGGGGGATGATGGGGGATGTATTTTCAGCATGACTCAAATGCCTCCCCTATTGTAATCCAACCTGATGAATTCAATTGCTTGCATTCGAAAATTACATTTTTTGCATTGAAACTGATTACACATGTGAACCTCGAACCAAAAAATGGTTGCAAATTTGTGTATGCCAATCTATGCCAATCTATGCCAATCTATGCCAATCTATGCCAATCTATGCCAATCTATGCCAATATGGCTATGGCTCAAAAAAAGGGTATGAATTGTTATGCGGTGATCTGAACGTATGGAACGACGGAGTTACGCAAATGATCTCAAATGATTTCTATCTCTTCAAAAGGGTATGGATCGCCTGTGGGTCCGGGGTATGGATCGGGCAGCCCAGTATTTTGAGGATTTACACGGCCAAAAAAAATGGCCATTTTGGGATATCCACGGCCGTGTTGAACTGTGAACGGCCGGCGCCTTGTTGACGACCTCAAACTGGTAATCGAAACATTCGCCGGTTTCAGGCAGCTTCACTCCCCGCGCCATAGATCTGACAAAGATGACTTGGGGAGAATTGGACAGCGGATAGGCCAACAACATCTAAATGAGTTCACTTGATGTTATGGATATCTTATCCATCTACAGACGCATCATATACCCTCACAAGCACATACACATTGACATACAATCACAAGTCGTTCGCCATCATCTCGCCTCAGGAAGGAGCTGAAGGCCTTCCGGTGATTCACGATTTTGTCGTCCGCCACGGCCGTACCCAAGGTCCAAATCAGAGCAAAAGTGAAAAACGATTCGTAAACCAACTTCTGGTCCTGCCAGGTGCAGTTGAACAGTTGGTGTTGTACGATTGCATATTATGGTTGTGGTGGGATATGGGTTTGGATGGTACAAAATATGTCGTAGAAGTTGCAAACCAACTTTGGGTCCTGCCTTTGGAAATATTTGGATCACGTTTGGAAAATTACAAAAGCATCAAATACCAAGGTTTCCAAATTCCAAATAATGTTCCCTTTGGATCAACCTCTGGTCCTGCCATTGGTTGGCTCCATGGGCTGGTAAGAGGTAGGACCAACCAATTTCCCGTCCTTGTGGTTCTCATTTACCTTTAATGGCTTGGAGCAACATACCACTGTGGGTGCCATTGGTTGCTGCCATCTTAAGGTGGCCCTTAAGGGATATCCTGCCTCTGGTTATACTAGTGGTGCCATTGGTGCAATAGGTGTCATTGGTGTGACGCCACTGGATCTTGTTGCTGAGTGGGTTGCTGCCAACTTGCTGGGTGGTTAGTAGCGTATTCGGGTGGGCGAAATTGTTTATATAATTAAATGGCCTGCATGGAGATTCTCATGGTTTTGATGAACTCAAATGATGTTTGCTCGGTTTAAACTGAGATTGGAGTCCAGTGTTGAGGTTGGCGACTTGCACCTTTGGGTCACGACACCATTCCACACTTTTCCACGCTACACTCGAGACGTTCCTCGGTGCTCAGACTTCGCAAGTGCTCCAGGGCGGTCTGAGACGATTTGCTTCCCTCTTCTTTCCCTGGCGAAATCAGCGGAAATTAGCTGAAATCAGCTGTCCAGACATGTCCAGACATGTCCAGACATGTCCAGACATGTCCAGACTTCAATCATCTTCGATCCTTCGATCCATCGATCCACTTCCAACATGAACTAACCGAGAGCTCTGAGGGTTTTTTCAGGTGCACCTCCGGCTTCCATCATCACCAAGGCATCCAGCAGGCAGGTCACGGTCTGCACCTGGCCATTTGTTTAACATATTTTTACTGAAATTTGATGGGAAGAAGTTCGGAAGAAGGTTGAACATGGTTGAACATGGTTGAACATTTGTGTGAGCCAGATTTTTTCTTAGTCAGCGGGTTCCCTTGCCCAAAAAAGTTTAAACTTTTTTTTGTTGGGTTCGCGGGCGATCTTTGGGTGTGAAATAGATACCCCCCGAACGCGCGAACCCAACAAAAAAAGTTTAAAAACTCGCTAGGTCAGTGGTCGATGTTGGTTGATTTGCTTGATCCTCAAAGATCATTCAAGACGATCCAAGAGCATCCAACATGAAAGGCTTAGAATAAAATTGAACATTCTTGCTGGAGTCCAAGATCACAGCATAACCAGGACTAGGAGCCTTAAGCAGTTTTCAAACTGCAGTTGTTTCACTTTTAAAGCTGCTATGTCAGGTTTTGAAACTGCATGGTTTTCTTGTTGTTTGTCATTCCGAATCATTCCTCAGGTCCGGACAAAGCCAATATCCAAGATGGGACAGGTAAAGGCGAAATTCTTTCGCATCTGTTCGATGTTGCCCTCAAACTGGTGCGTGAAGAGCATGTAAAAGGTGCTCTGGGCCACCGGGTCCATCTGTTCCTCAGTAAAAAAATCCATACGATGGAGTCGTTGGTTTCTGCTTTCTGGTTAAATCTGGGATGGTTCATCGTTTATTGTTGGTTTTTCCAGTACCCAAGCCAAGTTTGAAGTGTTCAAATCCAAGAAATCACCACATGAAGAGAAACTGAAACACATTGGATCAAGACATCGAAAACACATTGGACGCATCATGACCAACATTGGCTAGTTTCTCTCCAGCTTTCCACGAAGGGCTTCCAGCCAACATCGGTCCTTGGTCCAGCTTTTCCCTCAAGTCGTGGCGCGGTCAAGATGCAATGAGTCTGTAGACATCTGTAGACAAGGGGCTCATTGATGTACAGCACTCCACCACGGGAGACGGTGGCGGGACTCGCATGCTTCATGTCCTTCAAATATCTTCAAATTGCGCAGCTACCATCCAAGAAAAACAGAAAATGCGAATAGGTTCAACCGGCTAACAAACACCAGACTGCTCCCTTCCCCCGATATATGAGCTTCAAAAATGAACATATCCAATACTAAACGAGAGTCTCCAAGAGGTATTGAATATTTATTTGATCATATTAGGGCGAAGGGATTTGTTAACCAAGTTGCATCTTTCCGAAACAACTACTCCAAGTTTCGCAACAGATTCACAGGCACTGCCGCAGTCCTGGATTTCGAGCAACATCCGCATGGTCGGCGTGAAGGGAATGCGTTCGTTGCTGACCAATGTCAAGACCTGAACTCCGAGATTCTGCCAGGGCAGGCTCGGATCTGGATGGGCCAAAAATGTCTGTGATCTGGATCTGCATGGATTTCAAAAGATTAAGAACCGGAACCACATCGTAAAAAAGAAAAAAAATAGAAAAAGCTAAAAAAACATTTTTTGTTGGTATTTTGGTAGTTGTTTGGTTGGATGGTTGCAAGTCTCGGATCGACAACACAGCCGGGCCCGGCCTTGTTGTCGTCCATGACGGTGTTCATGGATTCGATCCACGTCGCATCGATGTCGCCGTCCAAGACGACCCATTTGTGCAGATGGGTGCTTTTGTAGCCTCCAATCTCCTGTAGACATCAGAAAAATGATGGGAACTGCTTGTAGATGGGGTGATAATGGGTGGTAGTACCCATCAAACTGGGCAAACCCTCAGCTATGGGTGATGATCACCCCATCTATATCTGGAAGGGGCACCCTTCGTCAGATTCTATGTTTAGACACTCCAATCCCCTGATGGCCAGATCAACTCCTACACTGGTGAGATCAACTTCTCACCCGCAGTGTCGCCGACTCGCCGACCCAGTCGCAATGCCTTGCTCATGTTCCGCATGATCACGGAAATCGCGCCATCTTTCCATTCGCCCTGCCAGTGGTCTCTCTTTTTTGCAACAAGACTCGTTGGAGTCAACAATTCTTTCATGAAATATCACTTTGGCTTCCAACTTCTGACCAAGAAACATAAAACATCATAAGACATCATAAGACCACATAAGACCCAAGAATCCACTTGAGATTGGTATCCAAAACCACCAAAACCATCCAAAACCATCATCTGGCGACGGCCTTTTGGAAGATTCCGTAGAGCTCATCAGCCGTGATGGCTTTCGGATTCACTTGTTCCCATCGACAATCCTCCCCAATGGCGATCAGCGACATCTCCAGGGAACGCCAAATCTCGGTTTTTCCAGCTCCCGTTGGGCCGATGATGAAGCAACAATGCCTTACCTGCAAAAAAAAGGCAGAACATGGCAGAACACAATGAATCGCCAGGTTTTTTAGTGGGAAGTTGGATCTGAAAACGAGTTGATAAAAAAGTCACTGAAATTCTGATCTCCAATTGTTTGCTGGGTGAAAATATGTTAATTTGCAAACTAAAGATGGATATGCGTAGAGGCGTAGGGTTTTTGCTGGGCCCCTGCTGGGCCTTCAGAATATCCAAGAAGTCGACCACTTTGTCAATGAAGCCTGGGAAATGGCGATGGCGTGCAGATCTAACAGCTCAACTCATCAAAAACTGCTCCAAAATCTGCACCCCACCTGAATCTGGTTGGAGGCCTCGACCCTTCACCGTGTCTTCACAGACCTTTCGGAACTTCAGGTCAATGAAGGGTGTGGCCTGCACACCTGTCAGAATTCTGCCAGATATCACGGTCTGTTGATGTCTGTGAAGACATAGTTTCCATCATAGCAAGGAAAACCGTCCAACAATGCACCAAAATACATGAAATCAACACAGACACTCAAAGCAATATGCTTTTGGCACGATCACTTTGAGACATCCCCAGCAGCGGACAAGTCGCACATGAAAAATGCCTTTTTCGCCCCAGGCATGGAATGATTTGGCACAACGGAAAGGCAATACGTCATAGCCGCCGTTGCCATTTCCGTCTCGCAAGGTACAAAGGGATTGAAGCGACACCATTCGGGTTGCCTTTGACATGGTCGCGACATCGTCGTGACATCTTCCTTTGGGAAATCCAAGCAGAATGGACACCAAATCATCCACCATCTGTCTCTTTAAAACTGCCATTTGTTCAAATTTCTTAGTGGCATAATGGTGAAAAAAAAATGCAATAGATCGCTTTCCAAAAAGAAACCCAATGCATCACCTGTTTCCATCTCATCTTCATTATTTTCATCCATTGTTCCATGATGTTCCATGGATTTCCTTGCCATGGCTAGGAAATCTGGCACGTCCGACTCACCGCCGCTCAGTATTTGACACGGCCAGCCTTCTTCAGCATCTTGCGGTGCATGGCATAGCCCAGCAAGGTCTCGTTGAAGGCGTCGATCTTCTCGGTGAAGTAGGTGTCCTGCATGGGAAGAGCTTCATTACGGGAACCCCGAAATCCGTTCAACTCCCTTGACATCTTTCGCATATTTGACAATTGGATGACAGTTGGATGTCAGTTGGCCAATGTTGGTCAATCTTCGCATTGCCACATTTTGCTCCGTGGGTCTGCCAAGTCTACTGCCTCCAGGAGTGATTGCCATTCGCGGTGAGAAAACTACGCAGTCGTCGTGGAAATCCGATGCGCCGAAAATGTAAACATCTCGCCCGGCCCGGCCCTGTTCCCACATCATATCAGGACTCAGAGTGAACCGCACTGCTGTTGAAATTTCCCAGATGTTTGCGACGCAGGGAGGTTGGCGGACAGCACCATCGCATGTGCAACCTAGTTCAGAGATGGTCGTGGCAGCGTGGTGGATGTTTCTCGCTGCGCAGTCTGCACAGGCACGCCCAAGAGGAAGTCAACTTTTCCAAGTTTCACCTTCAATTGCAAGAACTTAAGAGTAGAAGGAAATCGCACATCTTTGCAAAGTGCTGTGAACACAGCCAGGCCATAGTTGACGCGTTCTGCGCCCGCCAGGTCTCCAACCATTTCACTTTTCACCAACCACCCAGAATTGCCTGCAAGCAATTGTTGCACAAGTTCGGCCTTTCATCCAACAAAACCTTCCATACGCACAAAGTAAGCCTGAAGAAACAACACAGTCAGGAAAACACTGACAGAACACGAGAGCACAAACAAAACCCGCCACAAATCAGTTGCACATGCCGATGAAGCTCATTTGCACTTCTGAGGACGCCAAACATGTCCTTGACACTCGATCCCAAGCATGGAAAAATGAAGGCTTTGGCACCCTGTAGCCACCTCTCCCGCTCTTGTCTGATTTCTTCTTCTGTGGGAAAGGTTATCTCATAGCGACTCATACCCGTGGGTTGCTTTGGCATTTTCCGTCGGTTTCGTAAGTCGCATCAAACATCGGCTACATTCCCAACTAATGGGCCAGGTCTTGGCTACCAAGAAAAAAGTGTTGGAGACGGGCCCGTTTGGGGTTGCCCAAGCCACGCCTGCCAGGCAAAAGAGGCGGAGACCCAAGGGAGTGCACATTGTGCCACGCCTGCCACGCCAAAGAGGCGGAGACCCAAGGGACGCCAGGGCGTACATCCGAGCCCTTGGCAGTGCACATTGTGCCACGCCTGCCACGCAAAAGAGGCGGAGACCCAAGGGACGCCAGGGCGTACATCCGAGCCCTTGAGGCGGAGACCCAAGGGAGTGCACATTGTGCCACGCCTGCCAGGCCAAAGAGGCGGAGAGCCAAGGGACGCCAAAATCCATGCATAGCCCCCAGAAGAGATAGAAAAGCAAACTTTCACCCAGACAGCTTAATGTTCATCTTTTGCAGGCCTCCTAATACCAGATCCCAACTGAAAGCACCTCAAATATCTCTGGCTCAGCTTCCCTCAAAATCCCTGCCTGGGTGGCTGTAGCACATCATCGGAGAAAGGCCCACATTTGCCATGGTGGGAAAGGTCAATTGGCAAAACTTCCCCATGAGACAAGCTGTGCCAAACCAGGTCCAGGCGTATGCCCTTTTCATTACCACGCTGGCCACGGCTGCTCTTACTGGCAATCTTGAGGGAGTCACCCACCAACATACAGCCAGCGTGCTGGAAACAGTAGGTTGGCGAGGCACTCTTCAAATCAGACCCGTGCACCAGGGGAAGAAGCCGTTCTAAACCTTGCCCCAACATGTTTTCTTTGGTTTTCCTTTCCTATTGTTCCTCTTGGCCAAATTCCGGAAACCAAAGAAACCGAGCAAGTCTTGCTCCCCTTGAGGAAAACTATGCTAGCCATGACCTTCAAATTCTGGCCCCTACAGTGCGGGAGTTGGTGAGTGCTTTCTCAATTAGCATCGATGCTGCCTGGCTGGCAGATATTTATCATCGGTAGATTTTTGTTTTGTTGGACTATGTGGCGCCAGGCCCGGTAGGGAAACCAGCAATGTGAAAACCTGCCAGTGAGAGTCTGGAGTCGGATTGCGGTGTGACCTAGATTGAGTCAGGTTGTGAATCAGCTCCTGGCGATGAAGGCCCAGGACAGTTCCAGTCAGAGTCTTTTGTAGTTTTGATATACAGATTGATAATTTTCCACAGGCTTTTGCAATCGGTTAGACGCATAGACGCGAGCAAAGACCCAGGCCATGGACAATCGATTAACACATCTGTAATCTGTCACTGAATAGCACTATCCCGTAATGACATGGCATCGTTCGGACCCCTGTTCGTGGCAACATGTCCCAATTCCTGACACTAAAAGCTCGAACCGACTGAAAATATCTGTTCGTGGAGGGACTGGAACTATCTGTCTATGGAGGGACGACCAACCGCCATCATCAGCCATACATGTGGCTATGCCTCCAAATTGGGATGGCCATGAACCCACGAAATGTGTTTTTCCATCATCTAACCTTCCATTGTGGGGTATCAAAAGCCCTGAACTATTTCCGGCTGTAACAACCTGCCGTGGACTACCAAGTTTCAAGACGCACACCTTCAATGGCCGTGCTGGCAACTCCTTGTTCCCAGGCGCTCCGGTTGTATCGAGGGTACACAATCATCTTGGCTCCAAGCCCTAGGAAGGTCGGGTCTGGTTCCCATGCATAGAAAAGGCACGAGATCTGTGTAGGCACAATAATGTATCTGTTCCGGTGCTTGACGTTTGCAGGTACAACTGGCATGTTGCAGATCGCTGCTCTCTGCATCATCATCCAAATTTCGTATCCGAAGCTGGTCAGGAACAGCAAACATTTGGATGTCTCAATGCGACATGCCGGCGGAAACCAGAAGTAGGTTGAGAAGCACTTGCCGCGCAGTTCCGTTCACCTCTTCCACGCCATCGTGGTCTCCAGTAGCTTGCGCATAATTTTGCATGGTTTCTTGGTCGGACAGCCATGGGATTTCATTGCAGGGAGTGAGGTCCGATGTATCTAGAGGCCCTCACCTGTCAGGTGAGGAAACATGGTTCAATGCACCTTTGAAAATGGACCTTCCGGTCACTGAAACAACATGCTGCTCTGGTTAGATGCTAGCAGGTTCTGGCAAGAAAACCGCGTTAGTGATCTTTCATGTTTCTCATGGGGTGTCCCGGGACATCCCGGGACACCCATGACCTGGTACCGAATGGTACCGTATGGTACCGTGTGATTGTGAGGTGGACATCAGCAGAGCGCCTTCCGCATTCGTCAAATTCTGTCGCTCGGACGGCGGAATAGCGTCATCCAGGCAGGTAGTACTGCCAAGCGCAGCCCTATGTCTCAACAGAAGAGGCACCAGAGGCACTGCCAAGCGCAGCGCCATGAGAGAGGGCTCTTCCAAGCAGCAACTCAGGTTGACCAGTGCATTCACTGTTGCATGGTTTCAACACACCACAAGTTGTCTATTGCAGTTGGTCAACATATGATATGTCAAACGTTCCGCGCTCACAGGAGTTGGATCCAGCATTCTCCTCAATTTCATGGCATGCATGGAACACCTAGCAAAGGATTGCAGAATGAGCAACGACGTCCTGTTTCAGCACATGTTGGCACCACATCTGGTCTTGAAGCAAAATAAATATCCACCACCCACACAAACTGTCCGTGTGCTCCTTATAGTCGGAGCAGCCATGGAGTGGACAGCACAGTTGAAGATGCCACTAGGAAACCATTGGCCATGAAATTTCCAAAACACCCGTTTGAACCATGATCTCAACAGTCGTGAACTTCATAGTTGGTTTGACGTGCATGTCGTGATGCACACAAACACCCTTTGCGTTGCATGAATTCACTTGCCAACTCACCACTGCCCACTTCTTGACCATTGCTTTCTCCCTCAGATCTGGCAATCGTTTCATGCTCTTGCTGGTATTCGATTGTGCTTCCAATGAATTCCACCCAGGACGTTGATTTGGAAAGAGCAAAATCAGACATGTCTGGTGACATTCTGAGATGCCGACTCACACAATCTGACAAATATTCTGGCTTATTGTGTTGTCCTGACATGATCTGACAAATATGCTGAGTCACATCTTCATGTGACATATATTCTGAGGTGTGTGCCGGCAAACATTCTAGGACTCATATTGCCACATTATTGCATATGTTCACCCCTATAGATATTACATAGGTCTGGGCGTAGGTCCTGATTTTGTACTAGAGCCTAAATTATATTAAAATGAGTTTTGGCCAGGGTTTTCAATACAGAATCCCCGTTGCTCCTCATATATCTGAAAATGCTGTACCGAATCCCTCGCATGCACCCTGTGATGGAAGGCAAATTCCAAGGCGCCCAGGATCGTAAGTCCAAAAAGTCCAAAATGTGTTGTCAACATTTGTCAACTACTGCTGCTCGGTGGGTTCTGTAGCGAATTGAAGCCATTGTGTAAAGCCCGGAATTTTGTAGAGATCCAAACATGTGGCCCCAACGCCTCACATGGGCCCAACGCTTCCCCAACCTATAGGCTACAGGCCCAACCAGGCCAAATAGATGACCCGGCGGCATGGCCCTGGCCGAACCTGCTCCCAATCAAAAACGCACTTCCGAGCGATTTTAACCATTTTTGACACGGCTGGACAGCTAGGCTAGATCATCGTAGCTTACGGTTTTTTCGGTTTTTTATTTGTTGCCGCCTCTGAAAATCCGAACAGCAACAACACATGCTCAAAACTACGTAAATGATGAGATATGATGAGGGTGCTTTTCGCTGGTGATTGCCGAAAAAAGTACAAATACACTGAGTTTAAGCCAAGTGGGAACAAAAAGTCACGAATGGCAATATCATGTTTTTAGTTTCTGGGGTGCCACAAACATCAGTATTCGCAATGTTGTTTGCTCCAATGCTCTTCAAACAGGAGCAAAATAGGACCTACATGTTGATTTTGCGGTGCCAAAAAATGGAAACAATCGTACATACGCTTGGCGTGATTGTAAGGCAGAGCTTGCACCAAAGCCCATTAAAATTAGATTATTAGACACATGACACCCAACCTATACAGCATCGGTGTGCGAAGCTCTTCCCATGTCCTTGACGTTGACGCCATCAGTCTCCATCAACCAGTTGCCACCACTGGCCTTGTTACCCGTGAGATCCGTGGATGCTGCCAGGTTGATGCCACTCTCAGCCTCCAATTCCTTGAAGACCTGGTAACAAAGCAGATGGCTTATTAAATTGGGGGTGACACCTTTAATATTAAGATCTGAAACTACCTGAACTCTATGCAAAAGGGCTCAAACCTAGATAATCCACTAACCATCCAAGGTTTATCCATGATATGTCTCTTCGGGTTATGCGTTCTTTTCGAATTTGTGATGGAACAAATGGTGTCGAATGGTGCCAAGTGGCCAAGTCCCTTTTGCCAGACAACGACTTCTTGAGTTCTTAGTCTTCAGGTGTGTAACCATCCGGTGAGAACTGATACTGTAATCTCCAGATTGTACTGGCCACTGCATCCACATATCAAATCATCCAACAGCGGTCATTTTTGAAGCTACTGTGGTTAGGTGGATATGGAATGTTCACACCTTTCATCCTTTTATCTTTGGTTTTGTGCCAATAAAAAGGACTTGACTTGACTCTAAGAGACTCTATGTGGTTGTGTTGAAAATCATCCGAATCTTGAATATCCCTTGAATCTTGAATCTATCAGTGCCTTCATGCCGGTCTCGCCCGCGACCAATTCACAGGCCAAAATGTCCACGCGAGCATCGGCCGTCAGGGCTTCAACGCAGGAACTTCTTCGCCTCCTGGGATCTGAGACATTGACGCCGCATTGACGACACCGAACAGTTGTTAAAACGTGTTAAAAAGTTCTAAAAGATTCTAACAATTCTACCTCTGATGTTGTCGGTTTCTGTGGTTCGCCATGCGCTGGTACAATTTTTTGAAAGATTCTGATTGATTTTGTCGCGACAGGTCCAAATGTTGTGGGACATTGTCGAAATTCGAAAACTTTCCACATTTTCCACCTCCTTTCTTCGTTCGCAAATAGGACCCAGATTCCCAGGCGATCTCGTTTTGAAGAATCTCTCCTTGTGTTCCCCCGTCATCTCGGTGCCGTGGAACATCCATCTTTAGCGTCGTAGTACAGGGCCATCACGTCCTCATGTCAGTGCTGAATGGACGGGATGCGATCACAAAAAAAAACGCTAATCTCCTGGTCAACTCTTTCAAGGAAAGAAAAACTCTAATTAATCATATTTAATCATCATGTTCAAATTGTTCAATAATCAATATGTTCATAGATTCATATTATCTTCATTGATCATTTTCTTTGGTTACTTCCCAATCTTCATCCCTCAACCCATCCATGAACTCATCATCACATTGGCTCCTCCTTTACCGCACTGGCCGCTACAGGCCAACTGAGGATGCCATCGCTAATGAACAGCACTGTCTTCTCGGGTTTTTCGGTGGAAAACTTCCGGGCCTTCCACCGATTTGGATGGGGTTTATAGACCAACAAAAAAAACATCACCCAAGCATCACAAAATACATAGTATGGGGATAGCATCTCCAAAAACTATTATGTGATGTTGAAAATGTTCAAAGTCAATGGGATTTAGGATATTTCAAGCATTCAACATGTAATTTTAAGAACCCTTGCCTTCAACTTGGGCTTTAACTCTTCAGCAGCTGCCTTCCACTTGCGCTCCTTGTGGATCTGGTCCAAGGTTTCCTCATGACCGAGGGTGATGGGTGGTGGTTTGACGGCTTCCGGACAGAAGATGAGATATCGGGAAAAGGTCCAAAAGTAGTTTGAGTCGGTCCAAAAATGGCTGCAACTTCCCGTGTCCTTGTTCCATGGAGCAGCAAAGCCTTTTGTGAACTTTTGTGTTTCCGTGATTGTCACAGATTTCTATACTTGAACGATATTGTGATCGTCCAAACGGTTGTTCTTGGGAGATCCATAACAACAAATATTCCCAACAAAAAGAAAGTGTCGGATACGAGAATCGGATTTATCCAATCTGACCAATTTATGTGCCAAAATGGTGATCAGATCCGGAAAAAGTTTCATCTGAGTCGCATTGGTCACCTGCTTCACCGCTTCATCCAGCCGTTTCTTCTCTTCCTCCGACAAGTCTGTGATTTGGATCTCAGGTTCCGGTTCTTCCGGTTCTTTCTCTGCAGACGGTCCAGACGCACCCGAACCCATGGCGGGTTGGTGGAGTGGGGAGCTCCAGGTTGTGAGCCGAAAATGACTGCAGGATCTGCAGGTGAGATCAGGTGTTGAAACATGTTGAAACTTTACAACCGAATCTCCAAAAAATGACACGAAACATGAGGACAAATGAGGACAATCTGTCTGGTTCGCTGGGCAAACCGAATAAAATGGTGTCAACGGGTATGGTCATGGAAACAGCGCATCTTGAGATCTTCTGCACCCGAAACAGCGCCTGGGAAAAGATCTTTGATCAGACGCTGGAAGATCGGCATGTCCTGACCCCACAGAATCATCAGAGATTTATTCATAAATGGAGGATTTCAATCGAATAATTGCTATTAAATGATATTATAGGCTGTTAAATAATGGGTTATACCAGTACCATGTTCTACCCCGTTGTTGGGCCAACCCAATACGTTGATGATCCATGGGATCCTGAGTGGTGATCTTAGGCAGGTTGAAATCGCGAAGGGCTCGGCACAGCACGATGTTTTCGTCCGTGTCGCGTTCTTTGTTCTTCAGTGACCCAGCCTAGTGAAGCTTGTGGATGTGAAAACTGCCATCACGTTGGACTAAAGGGAATAGTTTGTTGATTTTCGCACATATAAAATGTATCTTATGAACAGATGCACAGTATAAATGGAGAGAAAATGGAAGATGCCGTACATAAAAAGAAAATGTATTGTGTAAACTGTGTAAATGGAATGTATAAATCACATGTCTAGATGTCGAAACACCTGTCTCAGCAGAGACTTCACGGCTCGAAGACCCCAATCGTAGTGCATCTGCTTGCTGAGCAGCTCCTGGAGAAATCATGAGAAATCCGGGGATCTCATCGGAACTTCTTTAAATCGCAGAAATCATCTATATAAATCTACTTATTATATATACATGATTATATAAGTAATATATAAGTAATATATAAGTAATATATAAGTAATATATAAGTAATATATAAGTAATATATAAGTAATATATAAGTAATATATAAGTAATATATAAGTAATATATAAGTAATATACAAGTACTTGGTGATACTTGGTGGGATCGAAGTTGATAGCTTTGCACTCTACCCTGGAGTTCCAACTGCCCCAGCTCGTCTTTGCCTTGGACAAGGAGTAGAGCGTTACAAACTTGTGGGCCAACAGCCGGGCGATCATAAAGCCCTCCGACATCAACATGTTTTCGCCTCAACACCACGAGGGAAATTTGAAGATTTGAACCAACCATCAATGAATTAATTCGTCTAAAACTTTCGACAGCCTTGAATCACTTGAATGGGACTGGATCTCAGATGACATTTCTTGGATCTTGCAGACAGTCTGATCAAAACTCTCGGCAAAGCATCCAAACCATCCGCATTTGATAGCTCTAAAAGATTTTAAATGGCATATCGCAAACACCTTTAAAGCATAATTAATTTAAAATATGTAAAGCTCTATGAGAAAGTTCTTTTCACGCTGTAACTGTCCTTGAGCATCTTGAGCCCCGAGCAAATGAACTTCAGGTTCGGAACGATCATGGCCACGGAGCGAAACAGCGCCTGAGTTGCAACTTTTGGAAACCTCAACCGGAGCCTCGGAGCATCTCCGAGCCTGGGCCCCCCCAATGGCCCAATCCACCTAGCAATCCACCCACCAAATCCCACCTATCAACCCCTAACCCACCCAGCCACAGATCTTGCTCGCCTTCAGATTTTCGGGCAGCTCGGTTCTACCAGCATAGCCAGGGTTCCTCGGAACGGAAACTCAGGTGACCTTGGTTTGGCTCCTGAATGGCCCTGCAGTTAATGCAGTTAGTATCGAGTCCAATATTTTTGTGCGAAAAAAATTGGGGAATCAAAAATAGGTACCAATCTTTTCGGAAAGAAAAAAGGATGGAAACGTCTCACAGCTGAGTTCACATCATCTTACCACATGGCGATGGCAGCCATGGCACATGGTGATAAATGCACCACATGTCTTCACCAACCGCAACTCCTGCAAAGATCAGATCAGGCGCGGTTGCTGGTAGTTTGATATTAAAATGGATGGACAGGATACGAGAAGATGTCATTTGGGAACATTGCCTTTTGCATCTCTTCAGAAGCGAACCGAAAATACAAGTTCATCGCACGTTTGCTGCACCCAAGCATAAGATCAATAAGGGCCTTCATCCACAAACATGGTCTTTACACTTTACTTAACACAATAGGCTAGGATTTCCACACGTTTGTCGCTCCACCCCTCTGGCACCTCATCCACGAAGAGAAAAGTTTTGCTGTTGATGCGAATGGCATCCAAGACCGACTTGTACTGGGTGCTCACCACGGACAAGACCTCCAAAGTTGCGTTCGAATGAGGAAAATGGTGCTCGAAAATGCTCGAAAATGCTCGAAGACTCGAAATCATGGAGATTTTGGCATCTGAGATTTTGGAGTGCCCATCTCCAGGTCTCAGGAGGTCTCTCCAGGTCTCAGGTCCAGAAGCCACAGCTGAAGCAGTGAAGCAGCTGGGACCACGGTCAGAAGGGAGAATGACGTTGCAGTGCTGAAGCCACAGTGAGATCATCCAATGGATCATCATCATCGACAATGAATCATCAACCGACAAATCATGGACTGTATTACTGTATCACTAAAGTAAATCAGTGAATCCTTATGTCATACTATTAGATCTACTAGTAAATGATTTCACTAACCATCTAAATTAGTATGACTGTTGGTATGTCATTTCACTCCTCATCTTGCTGTTGATTTTGCTGTTACCGGCCTCGATGGAGATACGGTTGAACTCATCGAAACATCCCCAGGCACCGACCTCACGGATATCTAGCGATATCGGGCTGATATCTGGTGGTTTGTTAATTGAAGATCAGGGAAAACCCAAGGGAAAACCCAAGATATAATATGTTCATATATGTTCATATATGTTCAATGGGGCAAATTATGGTCAACAGGATGGAGTGGGGGTAGTCCACTTTCAAGCAACCGCAAATGGATTGACAACCAACACTACGATGGATGAATCGATTTTTTTGAAGATCCACCTGGTTAAGTCTTGGGTTTCCACAGCTATTCAGCCACAAATTGAAATGACCATCTGCACATCTCAATGGAGACTCAAAGAACAAGGAAGAACAAGGAAGAACAAGGAATCACAGTCGTAGCCGTCGTAGCCTGTGCCAAGCCCATGAAGATCTGGGCTGTGGTTTGGTACGTCATCTGATCCGAGCAATTGAACCTGGGAACGACTGGGAACGATGCAGCAATTACCAACTGCGCGACGTTTCGATCAGCGAAAATCGCAAAAGCCTCGAAAATTTGAGGCGTTGATGATTGAGATCTATTGAGATCTAATATCTTCATCTTGCTGTTTCAAAATGTCTCATGTGGTTCCAAACTCATTGCTGGGCAAATTGTTTTCAAGTTGTTTCTTTCAGACTTTTAAGATCAAGATCGAAATGGAATTTGTGGCTGAATGCCTCATCATGTCTCATCACCTCACCGGGTTTCCAGACACCACGATGGGCAAACCCAGTGCCCTGGAGAGGTCCTTGGTGGTTTCCGTCTTCCCTGTGCCTGCCGGCCCGGCAGGAGCTCCTCCGCGATGGGATGGGGCATTTTTTTCTGGGATCTTTCTGCTTTTTAAGTCATGCATAGGGATACATAGGGAAACTACAAATGATCTATTCCGATTGTTATATGTCTGATCATCCATTAAAAAAAAAAAGTTGGAGGATTCCTTTAAAGCAAAGAATCAATGATTATCAACTATTTAATGTATCACCATAAAAAGGCAGAATCCGGAATCCCCATATGGTTGATTGATATGCAAATTACGATCATGTAATGTGGTGGTGCCATGAAGAATGATAGACGTTTCCCAAAATGAGAGATGCCGTTTTTGGTGACATGACATGCAGCAACTGGAAGTACAAGGCAGATTGCCGGTCCACCAGTGCCACTGCCGTCCTCCAAGGCATAGATTCAATGCCTGGCAATGTGGGTTTTACGGAAAAAAGGCGACCACAAAAGCCCCAAGTGTCGGATTATTATGGGAGACAAGCCACACTGAGCTGTCTTAAGTTCAGGCTTTGAGTTGGTAGTTTCAAAGCTGTTCCATCCGCCTGCGTCAGAGTGATATAACCTCAACGAGCGGAAAACAACAGAGCATTTGACGCACTGCAACCACGCGGGTTTCCAATCACAAGAAACATGTTCATTTTGGAAAGAAAATGCTTGACACCAATGGTTAGAACCAGCTGAGCAACATCGGTCGGTGAGAGGAGTAATGACCAATCTGCCCACATTTCCAATGTATTCCTCGGTCGAAGGGATGCAGTGCAAATGTTGATCGCTAAGTGTCCGATCAAAGCCATCCCATTTGGTGCCGCATTTTGCAGCAAACTATCCAATATTTCCAATGTACATGCCGGTGGCCGCCACTCCTAAATCGCATCCTCCCATCTCCAATCTCTCCAATATCTCCAATCTCCAAGCTTCGTAGGCATAGCAGGTGGCCCAGTCGCAGATCTTGATGAGGCAAGTCTTCTGATGCGGAGGTGTGAACGACACCAAGCTGCTGCCTGGCCCGACTGGCGTGAAAGGATTGGATCTATGTTTGGTGAAGCCTGAATCAGGCTTGGTCTTTTCACCCCGTGAAAAGAATAGCCTCCAACAGTTCTCATCTTTTCGCCGGTGAATTCTAAATCGACAATATTTTTTGTGCAAACTTTTTCCAAACACCATGTCTCTTCTTGTGCATCAGGATGCAATGCTGGTGCCCAATGGGTCCAGAGAAAATGTACTTATTCTATGTAGATTAGAGATGATTAGAGACAGACTGTATAGGTTCGGGGTTGGGCAACATCTAATGCCGAAACTTTAACGGCTACAATAATAATTATCCTCATGCAAACACAACATCAAAAACAAAGTTTAGCACCAGGATATACCCCCAAACCCAAGAGGAACAAACAGCAGGAAGGGTGAAAGGATGAATCTCAACAACAAGTATGATATGCAACATACAATTTTCATAAAGTATCATTCAGCACCATTGAACAACATCATATATTTGGAGGAAATAGTCCACTTCCACCGAAACCATCAGAACCCCCAGTGATTCCTCAGGCCAAGCAGTTGCCTGGTGGATACATTGCCCAATAGAAGCGCAGTTGCGATCCCCACCTGGAGCAAGACGGGCATCGTGGAGGACACATGGTTTTCTTCTGAGATGTCCAATTCTGTTGGATTTCTGGTGGCTCTTGGAGTCTTGGAGTCTTGGAAACAATTGGGTTGTCTTCTCAATTGGAACGACATCTTAACTCCATTTGCTACCGGTATCCAGAATTTGATTGCAACCTTTCCACCAAATCTGGTGCTGCACCCCATCCATTCAATGCGGCGACTGCAACTGCTGCAACTGCGACCTGAAGTCGTTGGCTTCATTGACCTTTTGAAGCACGAAGGATTCGATGACGTCCCGGGAATGCACGTCGATGGTGATGATGGTGATCACCTGCAGTCTGATGACATGAATGACTATAAATCACATAAATCACATAAATCACTGGAAATGGTGTGGATGGTGTGGAAATGTGTGGATGGTGTGGATGGTGTGGATGGTGTGGATGGTGTGGATGGTGTGGATGGTGTGGATGGTGTGGATGGTGTGGATGGTGTGGATGGTGTGGATGGTGTGGATGGGTTCTCAGCTATTCTCAGCTAACAACCACCCAAGGCAGCCTACGTTTCGTGCCGCGGGAAGACCGGGAAGGCCCGTTGACACTCCGTTGACTCTTCCGAGTCTCCGGCCTTGGTGCGTAGCTCCTTGTCGGATTCGCCCTGCACCCGGCGGATCAGCTTATCGATGCGATCGTCATTGACCTCAAAGCTTAGCCGAAAATCTGAAAACTGCAAAGCTTAGCAAAAACTGCAAACATCTGAACCATCTGATGATACTTTTTGATACTTGTTGATACATTTTATCAAACTGAATCATGTTGATACCCAACTGATGTCGCCGCTGCATCCAAGATGTGGCTCCTGCAAATGACAGCTCTTTTCAAATCCGTTCTGCCATTTTCTACCATTTTCAATCCATTTTCTGCCACACATCCTATCTGTCCAACTGCTTCCCCCACACCACATGTCATTGAGATGTCGACCCTTTTGTAGTCACGCATGGCAGTTTCGCTGCCGGCTTCCATGTCTTCAAAAGCACGGGCTGTTTCCTGTCATGGGTTCTGCCCCACCAGAAGGTCATAAATGTCATAACCTTCAAATCATGTGAGTGTTCAAATTCCATCCATATGCAAAGAAGAAATGCAGAAGTTTAGGGTAAAAAGACACAAAATACACAAATAGCTTTAAAAAAAAATCCAACTAGCTTGTCTAAGGCATCCCATTCCCAAGAGCCAAGTAAAATGACCCGCCATCCTCCGTCCAAATGATCTGCGTGGCCAACAAGCTCAACTGAGCACAGTAGTCATCCAGCCAGGTTTCACGGGGCCTGTCAAAAATGCGGTAGCTTTTCGGTCCCACAATGTGTGTCATTCTTTGTTTCTTTAATACAACTTGCAATCCAATTGATACAAGTAATCTCATTGATAGTATTTGATAGTGATATAAGAATCCAATTGATAGTGTATATTTGTATAATTTTGTATATTCTTCGGTATATACGAGCTCCATATGGGTATTTCTCATTGGTACATCAAGGCCCTAAACCATTTTTCTAAACACCCATGGAACAAGCTGACAAGTTGGTTCCAGAGCGCCTGTCGCCCACCTCCCAACTTTCAGCAGAAGTTCTAGCCTGCAAGAGCCCAATGGAACCAATGGAAATGTAGCCTCAAATCTGATGAATTTGACATAATTTGACAAACTGGGATGAATCAAACCGAATTAAACCTGAAAATCTTGAACGCACATGGTTGGATGGGATCAAATTCAGAAACTTGAAGGCGTTCCAATCACTTTGCAGTTGCCTGAGTTTTGAATATGTCTTGCCATGTTTGTCTGAACATATCATTCCCCAAATGCACATTGGCTTTCTCCTGTGGTAGCCTGCAATCATCTGCAATCACTACGGCAAAAAAAAAGTAATAGTTTGCTTCATTACGCCCCAATCTTCTGCACAAATTCTGCCGTTGATAGGAATCGCAACGTGCCCGATATCCCAAGTCCTACCTTGAAGGTCCTTGGGTTTGTCAAGAATAGGACGTTTACCCGTTTTTTATAGCTGAACTAAATTGGGTGTAGGGGTAGCAGACAAACCCATGCGCGTTCTGCCGCAGAGACGCCAGTCCCGGGCAAAGGTGTAGTTCTGTTCGGTCACAGCTTTTTGACTAAAGTCTTTTGCCTTCTTTGAGGTCTGAGTTTGCCAAAGTCATGCACGGCGAATTGTACGTTCTAAATGTTCAAGATGACGTAGGCTGGTCAAACTGGACCAAGCTTCTACCCGAAACCAGGCAATGTTAAAATTGCTCGTTGCGACTGCGAGGTATCCATTGTCTTTCTGGAACAGGTCCTTGTCGGCCAACCTCTAAGAACGGGACAATTTGAAGCCATGGCAAGCTGCAAGATGCTACAAATTGCCCCGCTACAGGATTCATAGGCTCATCCTTCTGGCCGATCCTCTAGGTGGCCTTTCAAAATCTTTTAAAGTTGCAAGATGCAACTGATGCAACGGATGCAACTGATGCAACTGATGCAACGGTGTCATTCAGCGTTCTGTATGCGTTCTGTGCAATAGCCGAATAGCCGAATTGACTCAACACGTCCAGAGTAGCGCAAATAGCGCAAATAGCGCAAAGGTGTAAAGCCCTCTTTGCCACATTTGGAGCAGGGTCTTGATTTGCCTATTATTAAGCCGGATTACATCGTCCCGAGAGGCAGAAATCTGTCCATCAAGATCGAATGGCAATCCACTGGCAGTCCATCAAAATCCCGAGCTTCATTGGATTTGCCCCGAACACATCGTCCTGGATTTCGCGACCATCTTCAGAGAACAACCTCTGTGTGAATCTCGTGTTGCCCAGTGGTGCAAAGACCTGCTTCACTTCCTTGTCTGATCTTCCTTTGAATTCAGCCACCTCAAATTCTGCAAGCGTCTCGCCCAAAGTGAGGTAGCACACTCCAGTTTTCCATTGCAACTTCTCCAGGCAAGGGACTTTGCGTCCTGCCTCAGATTCAGTTCATAGTTTGATGCAAGTTCGTTGGGATATACCTTCATTCTACGCCAATTTCAGAGGCTTCTGACAAAACACAACCTATCCAATGGAGTCCAGTACGCCAAACTCTGACAGCAATTGATCCTAAAAAATCATCTGCATATGATCCATCTATATGATCCATCTATATGATCCATCTATATGATCCATCTATATGATCATAAAAAATGATCTCCATGTCGCCATATGGTGATGTGAAAAACAAATGGAAATCGCACTTTGAAATCTTTGAACCACAAATTTTAGCGCTGCGTTGGACGGGACGCGTTTTCCGGTTGCGTTGTGTACCGTGATTTTTGGGGCGGAGCCGTTCTCCCGGATGTGGGGCTCCAATGGCTAAACATGGCACCACCCCAAATCTGGAGATTTCACGTGATGTGTCCATTGCCAGCCAAGTTACATGACAATTTGGATGTCCGGTTTTTTGCCAGCTGGGTCTTATCATCACCATCATGTTCCCAAGATTTCCCAGGTATCATCATTCTTTCATGGAGCTATTTTGGATTATTTTGGTGCAAAAATTGACACATTTCGAACGCTGAGATTGCCGGATTTCCGGACTGAAGAGTTCCCTGTCCGTTCCGATGAGTTCCGCCTGTTCCAGGACTTCCCTCAAGGCAAGGCGAATGTGCGCTTCCAGTCCGGCCAAGTAGATCTCCACCGGGCCCTGGGACGCGCAGGTGGCATGGTGGCAGGGTGCTAAGTGACCAGGAGAAACTGCTCTGAGTTGGAAATGAAAATGGAAATCATTGAAGTCATTTGAAATGAATTGACATGAATTGAAATGATGAAATGATGAAATGATTTCCAAATGGTGTTCAAGTGACATGTGATCATGTGGTTCAAAGTGTCTCGATAATCCAATCATCAGACCTTAAAGGCCATGGTCGTGAAGGCTCATGCCATTGTCGGTTGTTTTTACAGTGCAACAAAACATGTTGTTTTGATCCACAGAAAAAAATGTTTCTTTTCAGAACAGCACCAGCATACCTCAACCAGCTTAAACTGCAAGCACCGCCTCCAGCACAAAGTTTCCCGGATCAGATGGCCAGGCGACAAACTGCAGGCAACGGCGTTACAATCGGCCCACGCTTTACGGAGAGCAGAGGGGGAAATGAGGGGTGAGCAAGATTGAGCATGTGTGATCAATGAAGAACTGATAGGGAAAATATGGGAAAATAATGTGATGCAATTGATCATTTTGCACAAGTGCGTTGCCGAAACAAAGATCTTTTCGGCACCTCGCCATCCTTGGCTTTATGGCCACATGCGATGCGGCCCAGCTTGGGATCGGGGGAGAAATCTAGGGTACCTCGGTGATGAAAAAAAGACACCTCGGTTTACAGTTTAGAGTTTACAGTTTACATGTCTACATCATGTCTACTTTAAACGTTTCAACAAGAGCGCAAATTGTCAGATTCCACCAGTTCTTTTGCTCAATTCTGCTTCTCGTTCCCGAGGCGACATACATCTTGACTGCCTTCTATATCGATATCCAAAGATGCTGACTGAATCTTTGGTGAATCAACTTCCTCTACTTCCATTCCATGTTCGGCTTCACATGATTCAAACCAACCACAAAAGCATGGAATTCTTCTCAGCATCTCTCAGCGTCGGACGAATGCCATCAAAGACATCGCCCAAGTACTCAGCCACCTCACCAGGAAATGGGAAGAAGCAATGAGACGTGAAGAAATTTGACATCGGAACTGATAGGAATAGACGATTGCAATATGTGATGTTTTTGTGTCAACTCACATTTATTCTTTTGGCCTTTGGCAAACTCCATTCTGAGAAAGACATGTGGATTGATAGTGTGCAAATGGATTTCAGAACTCGTTTGATCTTTTCCTCCAAGGCCTTCAGGGGTTTGTTGCCATTGGACAGGATATCCAACAGAGCTCCATTGGCCACGAAGTAAAATCGCGGAAAGGCTTTCTTCTTCTGCTCCAAATAGTCATTCCTGACAACACGAAATGCTGATTGCACTACCTTCCACCAGAAGAACTGTTAATGCTGCATTCATGCTCATCAATTTTTCAATACGAATCTGAGGCCTGGGCAAGGATCTCTCACAAGTGTCCAAGGCATCCGTGATATCTGCCCTTAGACGACCAGGGTTTGATGTCTCAGGAACCTCCGAAATTCGATCGAATTCGATGGTTTAGAAATCATGTTCCCCACATTAGAATCATTACAGTAGAATATTTATATATATATATATATAGCTAGCTATAGCAGCTATAGCAGCTATAGCAGCTATAAAATGGGGCCCATCTCATCGTTTTTTTTTCACAAACCCACCAGGACCCAGCACCCAACAGCAACGACTCACCGCTGGGCATCCCAGGCAATGTCTGGGCGCGGCCATCGGCCGTGCAAATGTCAACGATCAAAGAAGATCTGGAAGCCTCCCATCTCTAAAGGCATGGCTCAAATCAAGTGATTCCATGGTCATCTTGCCACAAAATGGCAAAAAAACCGAACAAACTGAATTATCTTTCTCCAATCTTCGAGAAGAGTTGGCAAAGAAAAGGATTCCAATTGTCTACCAATGCTGTTTCCCTGCTTGGTTGTTTTCGACATGGGTCATTTGCAGACAAACACACCTCCATCATCAAATCCTGCAGCGACTACCAAGGATCTGCCGTAAGATGTGCGCTGCTTTTGACTGTAAATCGAGATGCCATAAGAGGCAGCAAGGGTGCCGATCTTTTTGTGCCATTGAACTGTGAAAGAAAGCATGCTGGGCAGAGAATTTATGATTGCTAGGGAAAAGGCTGATTGATGCTGATTTCTGTCAGTAAAACACAATTATACATACACACACGTATAGTTCAGATGATGATACATGATGAATGATATGAATGTCAACTCAAACGGATGAGGTCAATGAAGTGCATTGTGCGCTCCAAGAAAACAGATGACTCGTGTCCTTCCAGCTGTTGTCCAGGAGCTCAAACCTCTTGGAATCCTCTGGAAGCTGCGAGCGAATGTCATCGCTCTGCATGAAGATGGGCCTGCCAGCTGCCATGCTGACAAGGAGTTGGGGTCATGATGGGTCATGCCCCAAAAAGATGCAAAAGCCGGGATTTGACCCCAAATAGCGAATTAACCCATCAAATAACTGACACTGACAACTAGAAGGAATTCTCCTCCAGTAAATGGAGCCGGCAAGGGGAAGAAATCCCAATCTTTAAAGGAAAAAACATCTACAAATGGTTGAAGTCATTGCAAGAACCAGAAATGTAGCAGAAGGTACCCCTCGCTGCTTCCAAGGTGCTCCAAACGACACCAGTTGGTCTGGAACTTCTGCCACACCTTCAAGACCAAGTTGAACTGGACTTCTGATTTGAGGCTTCTGCTAGGAATGGTTCAGACTTTGGGCAATTTTGATCCAGACCCATTCATATGAGGTAGTTCCAAGATGAGAAATGGCAATTTGAGTGAGAAAATGATGATGTACCATTGGATTGTGGGGATTCCTAGGGATTCCAGATGTTCATCATGTTCATCCAGACTCATCCAGACTCATATTGCCAAAGTCTTCATCAACCTTCTCTATCCTTATCTCTTTATCTTGCCATCTTTCTGTGTTTACCGACTTCCCGACAGTTTGTCAAGTGTCAACTGTGGCAACTGTGGCAACTGTGGCACTGTGCCTGCAAGACGGAGTCGACGGTCTGCAGCTTTTCACTCCACTCGTCCACTGTCTGCTTGCAGAATTCAATGAAGCGGCCCTGACAGGTGCACCCGCCGCAAGTTGGCAAGGGGCTCCGGGAGAGTTCCCAATTTCAGCATGGTGATTTCCAAAAGAAAGGAGCAAAAGTTTCAGCAAAATCACCATGGGGAAATCACCATGAAGAAACATGGGGAAATCACATGGTGATTACCATAACTTGACCATAACTTGACCATAACTGATAAAATAACTGATAAAATAACTGATAAAACACCTTTTGTTTCCGCATTTTGCCGCCTGCGAGGTCATGGACAACATCTCCAGAGAATCGGACTCCAAACGTTCCAGCACCTGGAGACACATGCGTCTCTAAGATTTGGAAAACCGAAATGAGGAAAAAATGGAAAGAAAATGGAAAGAATATGGAAAGAATATGGTGCTGTTTGGCCCTTTCTTGGTCGCTTCAAGGCACGAAATATCTGGGCCTAAAAAACAATAAAAAACAGTTGGATGTGTTCCTCCCAAAATGGCTGTCTGTGCTGTCTGTTCTTGGTCTTTAAATGTATCTGGCTCAAACATGGTGTACCGCTTTCCAAACTTCAAGATTGCCTCCAATGAGATGGTTCCCTCTGAACAAAAGGCACTCGAGTCACTCGAGGATTTTCCAAAAAGCGTACCTCGTTCCATCTCATGGGAAATCTTCCGTTGATCCGTTGATCCGTTGATCCGTTGATCCGTTGATCATCTTCCCCATAGGCACCGTGCGCCTCACTGAGATCCGCCAGCAGTGGACAATCCTCGCGGCTTCCATCGAAGTCCACCGTCATCTTGGACCAGGTGCGACGGATGCCTTCCAACTTGGCTTCCTGAGCGAAAGCCAAACGGCTGTGCCTCGATCCTGGTTGATCCTGGTTGATCCTGGTTGATCCTGGTTGATGAATTTACAGGAAATGGGAGTTCTGCATACGAGGTATTCCTTTGACGTTTGTCCGTTAAACCGATTCTGAAATATGGGACGGGTTGATGATCCTTGAAGTTTGTGATCAATGCTATGATTTTTATGTCTATCACCTATCAACCATGTTGTCAAGTGACCATGATGGTGGGTGATGAAGAGGTTGGGGTTTGTTGATGGAGATAAAACTCAATTGCAGTGATAATTGTATCAACGGTCAATCAACTAGAGTCAACTATATGGCTTCTAAAACCTATCTATGGCTTCCCAACCATCAGGGACATGATGAATAATGCATTTTCAATTGGAATCCAACAGCCCCTACAGCCTACACCATATGCTTGTTATGTATTCAACTATACTATACTCATTAGTTGTGAGATGTAAAGCATAGATACTCAAAACGGTTCACTCTGTCCAGGCTCACATCCGCATGGTTTTTTCTTCCCAAACTCTTCGTGCGGTCTCAACCTGCTCCTCGCAGGATAGTGCTTTGGAACGCTGTGCAGGTAGTCTCCTGCACAGCAGCACTGGTTGGATCCGTACACCCTGTTCCGCACTCCTGTAAACTCAGGAGGCTACACAGGTTGAATCTCTCCCGCCCAGTGCTACAGTCGTGGAACTCCACGTAGAGATCAGCATCCTCAATGATGTGATCCCCTACAAGGGAGGATACTCCACCGGAGTCCTACCTCATAGGGAGGGAAGGGAGGGAAAAGAAAGAACGATGAAGCCAGTTTGGCTCAGACTTGAGCCAAAATGGATTCATCAGCTTACATACTCACCCTAATGATAATGCACACCCAGTGCCTGCCAAACACGATGCATACATACATTAGTTGTGAGATGTAAAGCATAGATACTCAAAACGGTTCACTCTATCCAGGCTCACATCCGCATGGCTTTTTCTTCCCAAACTCTTCGTGCGGTCTCAACCTGCTCCTCGCAGGATAGTGCTTCCTCGCAGGATAGTGCTTTGGAACGCTGTGCAGGTAGTCTCCTGCACAGCAGCACTGGTTGGATCCGTACACCCTGTTCCGCACTCCTGTAAACTCAGGAGGCTACACAGGTTGAATCTCTCCCAATGCACTTCATCCCAAAGCACTCAGAGAAACTCCACAACCCGGAGAAACGCGGGAAGTGGTAGAGACCAAATCTCGAAGGGGAAAAATGCAAAATGCGTGGTGAACCCATGGCGTTTGTGCCATGTTGCCTGGAGGCCTTCACGGCTGATCTCATCAGACCAGTTGGCCTTGCTAGGGATCCACTCCCAGAAAAACCAAGCCTTAAGACCAAAAAGAGTAATATGAATTAACCGTGACATATGCTCTAAATCTGCATTGTCAGAACGACCTCGGATCAATGCCATTAACGCTGCTGTGTTGTCGATGAACCAAAGCCCTCGTCTGCCTCGAAATCTGGACGGCCTAGAAAACAAGGCATAGAGCACTTGCAGCAACTCTAACTGGGCAATCTTCTTGTCACCAGGCTCCCAGAGGCTGTACACCAATGGGGGAATGAGAGAAACAAAAGCTTCCCGATGTTGCCTGTGATCGTCGTGCCACACCACCAAAAAGCCTCCTGTCCCCTGACCTGGGCTCTCCAACGCAGCATCCGAGGCAGCAAGGAAGCGGAGCCCTGCATGTGGCCAGATCTCAATGTGGCGAGAGGGCCGGGTGGTGAAAAAGGTGCGTAGCAGGTCAAAGCTCTGGCGCAACTCTTCAGTTAACTCTGAAGAGCGCTCCTGCTGTCTGTGCTTGATGGGAGCCAAGCCACCGCAGCCAATACGCCCCCACACGCCAAGCTCAAAGAAGTTGGCGATACCGTAGAGCTTGGCTGCCACCCCTGGTTGCAGCTTACCGGATTCCTCGGCAGTCTGCATGAGGTGAAGCAGCTTGGTCTCGATGCGTTCACGGGCCCAAAATTGAACCAGACCCTTCAAATGGACTTGACTGAAATCATGATCCAGGCCTAAAAAGGTGCCGGTACTCTGCATCTTCTGACATTTCTCCTCGGAAAATGGTGTACCCAAAAGGATGTTGAGAGTCTGCAAAGCTCTCTGACCTGATCCCCGGCACGATTTGCGGTCTGTCAGGTGAGCATCATCGAAATACAGACTGGTCAAACAAAAAGCAAATCGACGTGATAATGCTTCCACAAAACGACTGTATCGGTTGAACGATGTGACTGCAAGAGGAAGACCAAAGAGCAGACCTGTATAAATCATAAACGCCGGTTGTTGCCATTCATGATGGAAGAAAGCCACAATGCAGCATAAGGCCTCATCCCAACTCATAGGGCAAAACCGATAGGCGTCTGGCCAATCCTCACCTCCAGACTCCCATTCTTCGGTCTCCCAGTGGGGTGACCTCCCAAAGGCGTAGGCATACTGCAGGTGTTGGGCTGGCCGCAACGCTGAGCAAAGGGTGAGCTTGTTTGCATCACTGGAACGCTCAGATTGCAAGCCAACATAAGCGTCATCAATCACTCGTTGCTTCCCCGAGGATTGTGTGATGACACATCGCGGGATCAATCGGTAGGGTTCCGCACCCAGACAACGCTGCAGTTCCTCTGCAGTCATGGGCAACCCACAAAGCCCTTTCTCAGCATCTTGCAGGCTTTGTTGCAACAAAAATTCATCGTCGGCACCTGGCTTGAGCCGAGCCAAAATGGTGTTGTTGTGGCTCTGCCAGTCATGGAGTACTTCTTCTCTTGTCAAACGTGTGGCAACTTGTTCCGGAAAAATGCCATATGGAGGCGCGTAACCTACTGCGGGAAGCCCCATACACAGGCCTGCTGGCAGTGTCACGTCACCCCAATTGGCTACAAGAAGAAGAATTGCAGTGAAGCCGATGTCACGCTGCATTGTTGCCGTTCTGATGGCCTCAGTCTGTTTGCGTCGCAAATGGGCTGTGATCGAGCTCCACCGTCGCTTCATCTCAGACAAGATGCCCATGGCGCGCTCTCGCAACCTGCGCAGGTCAACTCCTGGCAGGCTGGAGAAAGATGCAGCAAACCTCAGATCCTCATCCAAAATGGGAAGCCCTTCAGTAGGCAACTGTTGCATGCTGAGCTGAAGGGCTTGCTCAAAATGCTGGTCTGGCTGAAGGTGAAAGGGCAGAAGGGGGGCCAACGCCGCCCTGTGGTTGATCGCTCCCACCTGTTGCCCTTCTGCAGTCCTCATCTTCTGCCGCACTGAAGGGGCTGCCAACACTGGGTTACAGCTGCCCTCCATGTCCAGCCCTTGTTGGTGGCGCCATCGCACAAATAGGTCAAGTGGGTGCTGGTTCACCAAGTCCTCCACAAAGGGGATGGCAACTCCCTCGAACCACTCGCCTGGGTACAGCTTCTTGAACGCTAACGCCAAGGACTCCTGCAGAATGTAAAATGGCCCGAAGGGGATACCTGTAGCCCGCGCTACACTGGACAAGAGGACACACCGGGTAACTCCCTGGGGACTCCTGCCAGAATGACCTTGGACCACCTGGGGGGCACTCCGCTGGCCCTGCTCGCTCAATCGATCAAAAATTAACCCGGCTAGGAGGTCGGCCTCACAAGTTTGGGCTGCAGGGCAGTCACAGACTAGCACTGCTCCCTCGAGCTCATCCAGCTCGCACCAGAGTGTCTCCCTGATGTACTGGACGTAGTAGGGAACCCAGTCTTGAGGGGTGCAATTCACTCCCACCTGCCATGGAGACTTCCACTTGGTGGTCGGTAGGCGGTGGTTATGATTTCCAAGCCCCACATACACATGACCGGGAGGAAGGGCGCCCTGTTGCAAGACATCTTCAACACATGCTCTCGTGGGCACCCTAGCCGCTTCAGCTGTGTCCAAAGGCCGCAAGCCCAGGCTGATGGCCAGTGGGGTCATAGCCCACTCACGCAGTGCTCTAGGATCGAGGTCAAGCCAATGGTCCCGATGCCCAGTACAACTCGGCGATGGGGACCTCGGCACATAGAGCTTGGCGTGTCCAACACGCACTGCCCACCACGAAGCTGCCGTGGCAATCGCAAAGCAGAGCTCTGCTGTATACTCGGACTCCTCAGCTGAAGGGAAATGGCGCTTGCCATTCTGGACCCAAGGTTCCCATTCCTGGGGATCATGGAAATGGTTGCAGTCAGCTCGCGGCCATTGAGCAATCTCTGCAATGTTGTGGCGCAACCGCTGCAGCTTCGATCTTGCACCACCAAAACAGCAGGCTGAATACCGCTGGTCGGACCAGCGACCGCTCTCCCACATCGCCACCTCATCCGGTGTCCACCAATGGAGGCTGTTGTATGGGTTCTCGCGGACTGATCCACCACCCCTGTCCACCAACTGGTCGATCTCAGACAGTACAAAACTAGCAGCGAGAACCTGTCAACTCAGGTAGACCCAGCGGGTGCTGTTCAGACCGCAACGGCCGGGGTGGTGGGCGCCCATCACCAAAGTCCCGCGGAATTTCCCTCGCGCGGCTCTTGGTAGAGCAATCCAAAGCTGCTGCTATGAAGCACACGGACTGCAACTGCTCATGCAACGATTGCTGCCTGAGGCTGTTGGATAGGTCATGACTCCTATCCAACATCCAATCCACTGAAATGGTCTCCCAACCACAAAAGATAAAGGCTTTGGACAAAGGTGTATTAGGCCCCGCATAAAGGTCCGCCATCCGTGGCAGCTGACAGTCAACTCTGTCTACGGGTCTAGCCTCATCCTGCCCAGCAGAAGTGCCCGCCTCTCCCACTGGGCCCCGTCATGGCGAAATCTTCGCCCGACATTGGATAGCTCCATGCCCCGGCATACCACAAATGCGCTCACCACGCACCACGATGCCACACTTGTGCTGGCCTTGGGGGCAAGAGCTTTTGGGGTTCTTGCACTGTCCATGTTGGAAAGCCTGGCAAATCTTGGAGCCATCGCGC